TATTCCCGAAATATAAATAGTGACTCTCGTATTAATAATTTTAAGTAATAAATCTAAGAAATTCAAGCTACGATTAACCTCTTGTTCCACCGTGAATTTAAGTCTATCATGATAATTATTAGAATTATTAACTATCTGAGTCATATTAGTCATAGAAGTGGCCAGTATTATGTCATCTACATAACGGAAATAAAACAAACATTTTAAATTTAACGTTTTAAGAACTGTATCCTCAAGATCATGCATAACCAAGTCAGCTATAATTGGTGATAGGAAGACCCCATAGAGGTCCCAAAAAGTCTGTTTGTAAATTGTCATTAAATAAAATAAGTAAAAGTCAATATAAATTTTATACCACGTAAAAAATTTGCTTTTCGGTATTGTAGTATTTATTTCAATGTGATCTTGTGCACAACGGATAGCGGGAAAGGAAGATCGAAGCGAGACTAAAGATAGGCACTACACACTACTCGACACACACGCGTATCGTTAATAAAATATATTTCAACTATTAACAAAAATACAATTGTTTAACCGCACATAATTTACCAAAAGATAGCCGAGTCGAACGTATTAGAAATGAATGCAATAAACGAGAGAAAAGCCGGGTCAAAAATAAATTACTGAATGTTCCGCAAGCAACGGTAATTAGACGAGAAAACCGAAAAAGACAAGCGATTTTTTTCGGAAAGTAGAAGCACACTCTATTCGCGACGAGCAATCGAAAAGAGCCCCGCGGTCACGAGAGAGGAGTTTATATAGGCCTGTATTTCGAGAACCTTCGCGAACATTTTTCCTTGTTCGATCGAGATGTTAAGGGCGAAAGGATGTTTACGATAATTATTTATTTTTAGCAAGTCTTATTTTGTTGTTATTGGCACTTGGTTTTCTCCTCTCGCGCGACCGCGATGTTTACGATTTAAATGAAAGTTAACGCAAGCGCTTCTTTTTGCAGGCGCGAGGTATATGTAAACGTTTCGATTGTACGACAGTCTTTTTCAATATCATGCTAATATGTCAATGAATTTAGTTTAGTCATATCGACCTTATTATAAATACAACATTTATGAGATTATCATATGACGAACGCAGTACAAAATTCATGTTTGTTGGCTTGAGTTAGAGCGTCAGATTTATGTATGCCATGCTGTTATATTATGTAACGACACTGTGAACAAATTAATATATCCGCTCAAATATTACATTTTAGATTTTTAATAAATAGTATTAACTTACTTTTTTGTCACGAACATAACACTTTTTTTAAAAAATTATTTCTTTTTACATAACATAATACACAATGTGTACTTTTTAACAAACAAATCGATATCTGTATCTCACAATGTCGGCGCGCTGTATATATACCCAATTTTAAGATGACGTAGACAATTTTTTTAAAATATCAAAATAAGAACCGTCAAAACGCTCGGTGTCCTTTTTTAGGTTGATACTGTTGTTTTCTTCTTTAATATATATCATTTCTGATATCAACCTTTATAATAATTCTTTTCATAATCTAGGATTTTTGTGTCGTTCCAATTGAAATTGTGTAAATTTTACAATATGATCAGAAACCACCGAGTGCCTTGCAGAATCTAATCTAATATTATTTTTATGTTTATTTACTCTTGTACCTAATTGTCTTTTCGTCTGTCCTACATATGTAGCATCACAATTATTACACGATATCTTATATATGACCCCCGAATTATTTTGGAGCTTATCCCTGTCTTTTTGCGTTTTTATGACTCTGTTTAATTTCTTTAGACATCTGTATCCTACTGTTATATTTGATTTCTTTAATTCTGATGCTACTAGTTCCGAGATTCTTTCAATATATGGTATCGCTATGAATTTTTATTTTTGTCGTTATTTATGATTTCGTTATTTATATCTTGAGTCATTTCTTTGTTTAATCTATTAACAATAAGGAACTTCAGTCTATTATTGATTTCTGAGAAAATGAGATCAAGAGGATAACTATTGCTCAATAAAATCTCTATGATTAATGTTAAATTTTTACTATGAAAACGGGGATGTGATAATAATATTGACCATCTACTAAATTATATATTACACTTTTTTGTGGCATAATTTGGATAATTTGAATGATATGAGAGTGTTCTACCCGAAAATGTTTTTTTCTGAAATTAATCTATATATTATTTATGTTATTTATATTTTGAGTGAGATATCTAAAAACTTATGCTACGGTTATCCTCTCTTTCTATTGTAATTTTAATCTATCGTGACAATCATTAAATTTTTCTACTAATATGTGACTTGATCTTCCGGCAAGCAAAGCAAGATATCATCGACGTAGCGATAGTAAAACCTTATATTAACATTTATAGTTTCAAGAATCCTAGTTTCTATATCTTGCATGACAATATCCGCAATAATTGGAGATAAAGGCGATCCCATAGAGTTCCATGTATTTGTTTATAGATTGTTTTTTGAATGTGAAGTACGTTGAAGTCAAAATGAATTTAATTACATTAACAAACTCAATTTTGTCTATTGATGTGTGGTTTTCAATGTAATGCCATCTATTATTTATGCTGTCTATTGCAAGGTCCAAAGAAACATTTGTGAAAACGATATCACATCCAAAGATACGATTGTTTCATTATTATTTAATTTAAGATCAGACAATGGCGTTGCACAATTCAAAACTATTATTAACATGACTTTTCCCTTTGGGTAAACTTGTCACTAAAATGTTGTGTAAATATGCAGTTAAATGATGTAGTGCTGTATTGACCGACGATACTATTACTCTGAATGGAACATTTTCCTTGTGAATTTTGGGCAGCCCTATGCTTTAAGAAGCACTGAATCACTGGAACTTAAACAATAATAGTCTTTTTTTGTGATCTATTCATTTTTTAACCATTGTTATAAATTTTTATTAAGGTCTTTTCTATTTTTATTATTGGATTGTTTTTGATTGTCATATAATTATCTTTGTCATTTAATAATTCTTCAACTTTGTCTATATAAAATTCTTTGGTCATCGATTTCCCTTGTCTGATCTTGTGAAAATGATGCTGGGATTTGTTTACAAAATGTCATGGTTTTTTGTACATAAAAGTAAGTTTGTCATTTATTATGTCTTTCCTAGTATTGTTGTTTAAAAAAACAAAGAACTGTGGAATAGCTATGTTTCTTATTGTCGTGAGATTAGTTATTTATTCGAATTGCTTTCTATGTCTTTAATAAATTTATGGACAGCTGTTTTTTTATCAGTATTAATTGGAAGGCTAAAATCACTACCTAATTGCAATAAATTTGTGACATCAGTTGAATATCTACATCAGTCAAATTAATAACCATTTATCATTGGTTTTTAAAGTAGGCTAATTGCTTACGACGTGTGATTTCGATTCGAGTGAGGTTTCGGTGCCGTCGGTCAAAAAATACTAACTTGCTTACGGGTCGCGTCAAATTAGTATTTGCGGTACGTAGTTCGACCACGCGCACGTGGCCGTCGGATCCCGGGTGCAATCGCGTGATGCGCGCGAGCGGCCACCTCGTTGGTGGAGTATTCTCGCTTCGAAGCAAACACAGCCGACCGATGCAAGCCTCCTGATTGACTCGGGACCATTTTGGCCAGTGGGCCAGCGTATGTAGTACTCGCTGGACCACCGGACCAAAAATGGTCCCTCATCTGTTGCAGGAGCTGCCAGCAAGATAATCGGCCGAAGGTTTTCTCTCGAGCGACGGTTCCGGTACGGCGGAGAGAGCGGAACCGATTAGGAAGTGTCCCGGGGTGAGAGCCGCTACGTCTTCAGGATCATCGGACAGGGGCTGCAGCGGTCGAGAATTGAGGCAAGCCTCAATCTGTGAGAGCAGCGTCGCCATCTCCTCATAGGTGAGATGGGCATCACCTATTACTCGTCGCAGATGGTGTTTCAGGAACTTCACCGCGGCTTCCCACAAACCCGCCGAAGTTCGGTGCCGCCGGTGGATTAAATGCCACGGATTTTCTCCTGTGCGGTGAATGCGGCGATGCGGCGTCCGTCGGCACTGGCCAGCGGAGAAGAGAGCGCCTAGCTGCCTGTCAGCACCCACGAAATTGGTTCCGCAGTCGCTGTACAATGAGATGCAGACCCCACGCCTGGAGATCGCCGGCACAAGGCCGCGATGAGGCGTCCGGAGTAATCCGAGGCTACGTCGAGGTAAACGATTCTAGAGGCTAAACAGACAAAAACGACAATGAAACCTTTCGTTGCCTTGTGTCCGCGACCCTTAGAGGTTCTCATCCAAACTGGTCCGGCGTAGTCGATGCCGGTGTGGAGAAACGGCCTGCTTGGTTTGACCCTTGGCTCCGGGAGGTCGCCCATGAGAGGCTGTGGGATGGCGGCTCGCCATCTTATGCACCTGACACATCGGCTGATGCGTCTCTTTACCAGCGAGCGACCTCGAGGAACCCATATTCCTGACGTAAAGAGCACAAGGTCAGCTGCGTCCCCCTGTGTAGAGTCCGCTGGTGGTGGTCATCGACGACGAGGTTAGTGAATGTAGACTCGCTGGGCAGTATTAGCGGATGAGTGGCATCATACGGCAGGTCAGCGTTGCTGAGGCGCCCGCCGACGCGTAGAAGTCCCTCGCTGTCCAGAAATGGATTTAGTTTTAGCAGGCGCTTCGCGACGGCAGCGGCGTTCCATTTCGCAACGTCTAATCTCTTCTTTAACTTTCCAGCCTGGATCAATCTCACCCAGGAGAGGCGGCTTCCGTCAGGTCGTCGGCGCTGATTACGTTAGACTGGCTTTGAGTGTGACAACTGGCGGTGGATCAGCCACCAGCGACGGCACCATGCAGTGATCCGCAGCAGTCTGGTCAGAGAAGAATAGCGCAGCAGCAATTCTGACTCGGGTTCCAGCTCGGCAACGGCGGCGGCGTGGGCCCGGACTCGTCTCTCTGGGAGGTCCTCCTGGAATCTCCTCTCCATTGTTTATTCACGGGCTGCTCTCCGTTGCTAACCATTCCGGACCTTGTCACCAGAGCGGGTGGTCAACCAGCTCACCAGGATATAGTCCCCGAGAAGCACAGTCCGCTGGATTTTCTCGTCCTGGTACGTGATGCCAGTGGGCATCAGGGATCAGCGTTTGTATCTCGCTGACCCGGTTGGCCACATAGGTGGCCCACGTCGATGGATGTCCTCGGATCCAGCCGAGCGTGACTGTGGAATCCGACCATGTGAAGAGGTGCCCTTTCAGCTCCAATGATCGGCAAGGTGTGGGCGACGAGACGAGCCAGAAGAGTCGCTGCAGATAGCTCCAGTCGAGTAATGATACCTGCTTCAATGGCGCGACCTTGGTTTTGGCGGCTAAGAGAGTCACCTTAGTAATGCCCTTTGTTTTGCTCTTCAGGTAGATCACTGCGGAGTAGGCACGCTCGGAGGCATCGGCGAATCCGTGGATTTCCAGCATTGATTCAGTCACACCTCCCAGCCATCGAGGTACGATCACTTTTTCCAGAGCTGGCAGCTCGCTCTGGAATCGCAACCATCTTCTCGCTTCGTCGGTAGGTAGCGAAGCGTCCCAATCCAGACCTAGCACCAGATAGACTGGATGAAGATTTCTGCTAATATCGTTTTGGTGCCAGCCAGCCAAGAAAGTCGAACATTTTCGCTGTCAACAAAAGTACCGACCGTTTGCTGAAGGTCGATAGTGTGATCGCTTTGGTAGCGAATGCGAAGGATCGTCACGTGGTTGCCATCTTAGACCGAGAATAGAGTGACTCTCGCCGGGCAGCCACCATCTAGCCTTTTGTTGAAGACGGTCGTCGGCTCCACTTGGTTTAGCAACAGCGAATGGTTTGCCGACCATTTCTTAAGCGAGAAGCCGCCCGCCCTGCAGATCTCCATCAGCTGTTGGATCATGACCTCGGCTTCTTTCATGGTCTCCGCGCCTGCCAGGATGTCGTCCATGTAGACGTCGCTCAGCAGGATGAGAGCTCCCTTCGGGTAGCGATGTCCCTCATCCTCGGCAAGTTGGCGCAAAGTACGGATCGCCAGATAAGCAGCACAGGAAAGTCCGTAAGTAACGGTACTTAGCCAGTACTCCTTGACTTCGTCGTTGCTGCTCTCTCTCCATAATATCCTTTGCAGACTTTGTTCGTCGGGGTGCACAAGGATCTGCCTTTTTTTTTTTTTGTTACTTTGGGGAAACCTCATGGTACCATCCGCTCCGGGTAGAGGCGGGGGTTATGTGGGACTCCCTGCCCCGCCTGGCCGGCCCGCACCTCCGCCGGGCCGGTCCGCCGTAGCGGGCGGAGAGTCGGGATCGGCGAACCGGAGAACCGGGACAGGACCTACCGCACTAAAACCCCAGAGGATGTCCTCACGGGCGTTATACAGGGGAGGCCAGGATGCTGGTATCCCATGCCGACTGGCCGCCCCCCCGCCTTATCCCTCCTTGGGAGGATGCCGCGGAAGGCGACACCCTCCCCCCGTCATTGTACGGGTTCCTCGCGGTTGCGGCGCAGGGCGACACCGACCCCACGCCGCGCCCTCTCAAAGAGTTTGAGGGGCGGAGCCATGGCTCGAGAACTCCCGCTCGAGCCATCGCCCCTCGCCCCCCCAGTGTCGCAACCCCCGGACCCCCAAGAGGGTGGCCCGGTTCGGCGGTTCACTGAGGGGGCCCTCATCAGGAGGCTTCTCTCAGAAAGAGAGAAACCCCCTTCCGTGGACGGTGTTGCCCTCCCACCGGTGCCTTATGGCTCCCGGTGAGAGGGCCCCCACACGTCACGTCTCCGTCCTTGAGAGGGGCCCAGGCGCCCCAAACGGGAGAGCAATGCCCGCCCGCCAGGGACACGTGGCCCCCCCTCATTTCTGACCCCTCCGTTGCGACTCCCTCCGCCCCGTTAGGGGTCAGAGTTCACCCGCAACCGGTGGGGCCCTTCCCTCCCGGAGGGTGTGGGGGGGGGAGGGGAACGCCTAAGCGCTCCCATGTCTCCCCGACACCCTCATCTGGCGTCGATCGTCGACGCCGGTATGTGGCGGGCTCCCCGACCCTCACCGCCGCGACCAGCTGCGCCCGTGGGCGCGACAGCCAGCGACGGAAGGGAGCGGGACGGCACTCCTCCTATTTTCGAACCCGCCGGAGGTGCCGTCAGGCACCCCGGTCCCCCGAGTCGGTGCCTGGCCGGCCGTCGGAAGTCCACGCAAAGCGGACACCTAAGGCCGGACAGGCACCCCACCTCCTTGTGGCCAGGGGAGCCGCAGCGGTAGCAGCGGCTACTCCTGTCCACCGCCGAGTGCATTGGCGCCATGTGTGCCCAACACACAGGCCCGGTAGCACCTCGGCGCCCCCATCACATTGCGACGGTCGCCCTGTCGACCGTTCGCACACCGCTGCTGCCATCCTCAGCGGTCTCCGTCCTCTCTCTCCTCCTCCTTGTTCCAACCCCCCTTCCCACCACCTTCGCCCACTCCTCGCGAGCTCCGGGGTGGTGGTC